CTGGCTATGTGCCCAAAATATGTGAGACAGACCATCAAAATCCTTGCCTCTAAGGGAGCAGCTTGGCTTCACCCTCTCTAGGATAGACCTATTTATTCTCTGGGTGGTCCAAGATATGTTCAATATTCTTCTCCAGAACCACAGCTCAAAGGCATTGATTCTTCTTCTGTCTTCCTTAGGTCATTGTCCAGCTCTCAGATGCATAGCATGTAACTGTGAAAACTATGGACTGAATCAGGTGCACATTAATTTCTAGACTGATACTGTTGCTCTTTAGCACTTTGGAGAGGTCCCCAAAAGCAGATTTTCCTAATATAATTCAACTTTTGTTTTCCTGACTGCTGGTGCTAAGAGTGTAAATTGTAGAGCTGAGCAAACTGTAATTGTTAACAATTTCAATCTCTTCTCCAGCCATCATGATGCTGCCAATTGGCCCAGTGGTGAGAATCTTGTCTTTTTTATGTTAAACTGTATTGAAGACTACAGTCCTTGACTTTCTGCAGCAAATGCTCCATTCAGGCCCTTTTCAGTTTCAGCAAGCGAGGTTGTGTAATCTGTACAATACAGGCTGATGATGAGTCTTCCTCCAATTCTGATGACACATTCCACCTGGCCTCCTAGATAATCTGTTCCACATATTGATTTAAAAGGTATGGAGACAGGTCATATCCACTAATCCTCACTGACAGCCTGGGAAATACAAGCAGGGAAAGACCTCCAACCTAAATGTGTTTTGGGCAGTCCTGGGATTGCAAGGAGGAAAGAATTTTCAATCATCCCTGCCATCTCAACTCAGGTAACAATCTCCAAATATGTGATATATATCACAAAAGAAAAATGCCATAACACATATTTTCTAGTATTTCACAAATTTCAAAGTATTTTAACATATAATTAGCATTTTGTTGAGTACCTTACACATTTGTTGCTATGTGCCATCAAGTCACTTGTAACTCAGAGGGACCCTATGTAAAACACTCCTAAACTCTGCTCTGTCCTGTGCCAATATCACTGTCTCCAACACACATACCCCCACTACCCCAGTCACTGAATCAATCCACCTCATAGAGGGTCTTCCTCTCCTGAGCAGTCCCTCCACCCTCACAAGCACGACATCCTTCTCCAGGGACTGGTCCCTCCTTGCAACATGTCCAAAGTATGTCAGATGAAGCCTCAGAATCCTTACCTCCAAGGAGCAGCCTGGCTTAACCCTCTCCAGGCTGAACCTGTTAGTTTTCTTAGCAGTCCATGCGTATGTTCAATACTCTTCTCCAACACCACAGCTCAAAGGCATCGATTCTCCTTCCATCCTTCCTAGTCATTTCCCAGCTCTCTGATGCATAGCAAGTGATTACAAAGACCATGGCCTATACCGGGCATACCTTAGTCTTCAGAGTGACACCATTGCTCTTCAGTACTTTGGAGAGTTCCCTAGCAGCAGAGTTTCCCATCGCAATACGTCTTTTAATTTCCTGGCTGCTGGTGCCAAGACTGTTGACTGTAGAGCCAAGTAAACTGATGTTGTAACAATCTCAATCTCTTCACCATCCATCAGGATGCTGCCAATTGGCCCACTGGTGAGAATCTTTGTTATCTTCTTATTGAACCTCAATCCATATTGAAGGCTGCAATCCTTGACCCTCTGCAGCAAGTGCTTCAGATCCTCTTCAGTTTCAGCAAGCAGGGTTGTGTCACCTGCATAATGCAGATTATTGATAAATCTTCCACCAGTCCTGA